ATGAAGTGCCTCAGGGATTTCTGTTTCACAACAGCTGATCTGGAGAAAAGATAGCTGCCTGCAAGACATCTGTCTGCACTAAAACTGTACTTAATTCTTGCATATGCATTTACATATTCATGTCTTCATTAAAAGCAGCAGGGAAGAATAATATTCTCCAGAAAACTTCAAGACAGTTTGGAAATCTCTAAACATTAGCTTTTAGGAACAGAGGAAATTATCTTTTAGACACACTTTCAAGGTCAATAGAGCTTAGGTATAACAAATATCCTCTTAAAAGATGATCAAAAGTTCACTCAATTTCTACTGTACGTGTCTCAGAGCTACTACTTTTTCTATAGCAGCTTAAAAATTATTATAGCTCTAAAAGGGAGAAACCCTCGGTATAGTAAAGTATACATATAAAAATAAGTTTTGCCACTGAAAAGCCTCCTAACTCCAGATTTATGAAAGGAAGGGCTAGCAGATAATATGCATTATAGGAATGGACCCCAGCACATTTTCACTCCCTTGTATTATCTATTTCATGTCATTAAGCTGGAGGAGCAGCCAGAGATCCTTCACTGCAGCTTTTAGGACCACAAAACCTGCTCCATTGCTTCTACATAGCACTACCCACTGTGGCACTCCTGTCACTGTTAAGCCATCTAAATCTCAGCCATTTGTATGAGTGCTCTGCCCAGGGCAATCTTGAAAGCTTTCAGAAAATGCAGTCAGTTCTTCAAGCACCTTTTGGACTTTGGTAATTTTCAGTCCAAGGCTGAAAACACTAAAGAAATAAATTTCAACTTCCAAAACATCACAAGAATAATCAAATAATATACAAACCAGAGAGACACGAATGGTATATTTCTGGTATAAAAGGAATATGTTTGCATACATTCAACAGCATGAGTGAGATTTAAAAAAAAAAACCAACAACACCACCACCTCAAAAGTATGGCTAACAAATAGCCATGCAGTGTTTCTTCAAAGTTCAGTTGAAAAATCCAGACTTAAGGCTGGCAGAGCTGAAGAGACTGAACCAGTATACTTGAACTATGGAGAAGCACAGGCTTTACAGTACCATGTAAAATAGGTCCTCAGAAAGTCTGCTATCGCAGAGAGGATAAAAGGAAACAGAAAAGGAAGGCAGTGGTACTAACCAAAGAACCTGTGTGGTTTTGGGATCAATGGAGGAGTGAGGCAGAGTTGAAGCAAGGTTTGTTTCCACACTGGCAGCTCCACAACCTCCCTTGGCAGATCATTCCGTTGTCTGATGGGACCTCAGTGTTTGACTGTTTTCCCTAATGACTTTGCTTGTTTAGTGTCAGTGTTTTGTATTGCCCAGATCTCATTTGAATAGACTCTATGTTTTGGGTTTTTTTGAAAGTGTGTATGAGATAGCAATTATAAAATTTCCCCCCTTAGTCATCTTAACAGTTGGTCAGAAAATAGATGAATACCTGTGTAAATATATGCATTCTTGCATGAGCCAAGTCCTGTTTTGTGCATGCAAAACTCAATTTGAATGCACAAATGATTATATATGCATTGTATGCTTATTTCC